ATGATGTCCTGAGACGTTGATTAAACAGAACAGGGGGACGTTAGATGCCCTGACTCCCCTCTAGATAAATGTGTTAAATGAGTGAAGGAAAATATGAGCACCAAGCAACAACCCTAGGTTCTCCCCTGAGAACCAGACCAAAAATTTTATGTGCAACCCTGTCTATAGCATTAACTAACTAGCAAATGATGTAACAGGTAATAACTAATCTTGTTAACTAGCTAAACATTATATAACATTGTGTAACTCATCATCATTTAGATAATATTATCTGCCTCTGTAAGCATGATTGAACGTACATAGTTTGTTTSGTAAAAACTGTGCCAAGTGTTTRGTCTTTTGCTCTGTTGGTTTCTGACACACACGGTGAGGCTGTGCTCAGCAGAATATATGCACGCTCATGGTGCACTTAAAGACAGCTCAGAAAAACACATTACCATATGTTAACAATAGATTAAACAGCTGTAACAGCTGAGAAAAGTGTGGAGGACAGAGGGCAAAGATGCAGGAAGTGCGRGGAGACATCCCATGCATATTCTGCGTCTGTTGTGCTAGTGCCCTCACTGCCCGGGGCCCTTTAGAGGCCATGGGTCCCTGGCAATTGCCCAATCTATCRATGCATCAACCCATCTCTCATTTCCTACCATCACTTGTGAATGAGATGCCCAGATACTTGAATACTTCCACCATAGGCAAACACTTCCCCCTGATCCAGAGGGGGCATTCCACCCATTTCTGGTTAAGAACCAAAACTTCAGACCAGGAGGAGGTGAATCTCATCCCAGCCATTGTATACTTGGCTGCAAACTGCCCCAGTGTATGCTGAAAGTCATGGAAGATTTCAACCGAACCACACCACCTGCATAAAGCAGAGACAAGACTCTGGGTTACCCAAACCAGACACCCTCTTCTGCATGACTAAGCCTTAAGATCCTGTCCACCACAAACAGGTGGAAGACACTCCCCAGTCTCCTTTTTTGCATTCATCTAGTCCTTTATGTGACATTCAAGTGCATCAACCTTTGTAGCCCCACAACATCTAGAGCCTTTCTGCTTTTTGTCCACTGTAGGGTCTACCTTCAGTTCATCATATTGACTTTATTCCACACTGGAATCCTGGGGACAAAATCCTTACTTAGGACCTTGTTTTATGACTGTCTGCATTCCTGAGCAAACCTCCTCTCTTTCTACAAGCAACTACAGGAACTTTGTTGTTAAGAAAATAACAAGTCTCAAACCTCCAGCAACTGTTGATTGATACAGTATCTGTGAAAGAACACTGGTACGAGAGGATACCAACTCCCACTTTAGTCACCAAGATCAACCCACAAGTAGAGATGGGTACCTTTGACGTTTGAACTGATTTAATACCAATATCCGGTGCCTGGGAATTGGTACCGGTACTTAACGGTAGCAATTTTCGGCACTTAGTGTGTGTTGTTTTTTTCAATAATAAACTTTTTATTTTGTTTAACATATTTCTCAATATATAAAATTAACAAATATCAAGACAACATCCAACTCTTTGTATTGTAACATCAGTTGCGTAACTTTTTTTCTCTGAAGCGAAAACCCTTGAAAACAAGACTGTTTTGTCTTATTGCACATATTAAAATCCAGCTCCAAGTGTTTCTATTGATGTCATTTCCCCGCTAGAAAAACTGTGTGATGGAGGTCCATAGAAGGCAAATAAGTTTAAATCAAATAAGCAAAAGAGGATTGAGTGAAAAAACAAAAGGTATTCAAGCTACATTTTGAGCATCCAAAACGCGTCCAACGCTTCAAGCTGGCTGCTTGTGCTCTTTCAGGTCAGACACATTCGGACTGTCGGCAAGTGCCTCTGTTGTCTTCCTCTGCCGGTCTCTGTTCAATGGCAGATGAAATAAAGAAAGTGATGGTATTTTATTTACTTTGAGCAAGCGAATGTCGTGTTCACAAGAAAATTAATCCACCAGATAATTCAGAGGCGATCTGTTCGGTGAGTTTTACTCCTGGAGCTGCGAGGCTTTCATGCTACGTTCAGACCGAGCTCTGCCTCTGATTACTGAACCAGCGGCTGCTGACATCATTACGTTCTTGCGTAATGCTGCRTTCAGGACAAGCATGGAGAACTCACCACTCTTACGTCAAACCGGTCGCAATGATGTGTTTAGGTACCGAAACATGGTACCGTTTGATGTTACGTGAATAGATACTCGGTAGTACCGACAGAATTCGGTCTGCACATCAAAAAGTATCGAATTCAGTACCCATCCCTACCCACAAGACATTTTGACTTCATTTCAGAATCTTAATCTTTTTTTTCTGCTTGGCCTTCAGAGGAGTCGGACGCTTTTTGCTCTCTCTCTGCCGAACCTGTCCGTCCTTTCCTGCTTCGCAGCTTTTTCAAGCCTCYCTTCTACCYATCATCCGAAAACAAAAGGAATTCTAGATTTGGTCAACTGGTCTCTGAACGCAATTGACACTATTTTTTTCTACATTGAGATTGGAATGAGGGGAACATAGCTGTCCCAGTGGAATGGTTGCTGCTGGTCGGATCACTGGTTCTTGGGGCTGGAACCTGATCTGTTTGGCGCTGCTTTTCATTGAAGACGTGGAAAATTTTGTACATATTTGGATTTATGATAACTGGATTTCTGCTGATTGGCTGTGGCGGAGTTCTGGCTTATCAGAAAATGAAAGCAATCCTGACAGCAGTCCRGGCCTGTGAGAGGCTGTCAGGAACCATGGACATAATCTCCCGTACTGGAAACGCAMAGACTCAGATGCTGGGGGAGATAAGTTGCAAACTGGATGTGATTCTGTTGAGAATAGCAGCCCAACAGCGTGCTCATAAAATGTAAGATTACACCTGGGTGAAGTTTCAGACGGAAAGAGAGGTGAGGAGTTGATGAAATTCGGAACATTCCGCATTTTTTTCGCCATTACAGAGATGCAGTTACAGACTGTAATGCAGCAAGAAATTTGAGGCCGCTTGTCCCAAAACAATTATGTTTATGTTTMGGACACCAGCAGCTGCTGGCCTTGGTCGGTAGGCAGTTATCAAAACTTCCCGGGATGGATATGTCAACAAAGGCCTGATTCTCCACTCCCTATTCCCGTATCATCCRTATGGATCAGTCTGAAGGCTTTGGTGATGGAGAAAGGGGAAACCCTGAACTCTGGGACTGAGTTTGGGAGGATAAGATCTGTCTCTGAACTCTGGCGGGTCCTGGTCTTGGATTGGTTCTAGCACGGAGTATTAACCTAAAGCGTCACTGGCTCCACTGAATCCTGCCCCTGTACCATGTGTTTGACCCCCAGCTGCCTTGCTCTCGCGAGTCTTTCTTTTGTGCAGATGATTCTGTGTTTATGAGTAAACATAGGATCGGAGCATCTTTTTTTAACTCACCTATCCTATTGTATGTTTTCCAAGCTGCAAACGGTAGCGCAACCGTGTTGCGCGAGACTTGTTCATTTGTTCCCCCATGTTTGTTTTATCTGTCCTTCTTTGATCTAAACTGCAAATTTCATTCTGCATTGCATCTCTCATGTTGTGTGTGAATGACAATAAAGCAATTTTGATTTAAGATGTCAGGAACTGTTTATCTATGGACAATTCACATTCTGAGAAACTGAAGACTCAAGTACTGTTCTTTCTCAAAGAGAACCATAAAAATGCTTTTACTGTGACTTGTCTGATAAGAAATAAATATTTTTTTGTCTTTTCATAAAACGATCTGCTTTAATCTTTGAAAGAAATGTGATTAACCATGTTTTTATTTTAGATCTGAAGGTTGGCCATCGAGGTCAATTAAGTTAATGGTTTTATTTTTATAATCATGTCACATACATTTTTATAAACAAAACTGATCTTGTGTGTTATCAGTTCTTGTGTTTGAAAACATGTCTTCTTAACCAAAGATGTTTTATTTCAGGACTATCAGCTGTTTTTTTTTTATATCTAAGTAATGTTTTTCCTACTTCCACAAATTTGAGCAAATTAAGAAACTTTAGAACTTTTGATTTTATTGATAACATACGTGACAATTTTTTCTTTGATAAACTAGCTTACTATTATGTATCGGTAAAAAGACACACTAAAATGTTTATGTTTTGTCAGAAATTTCTTAATATCCAGTAAAGGTGTACTTTAATATGGTTTAATTTTGCTATCTAATTTTTCTTTGAGGCAAAAGGGGTTGTAAAATCAAATGATCAAAAGATGTTTAAACTTAAAAACTTCTAGTTTTTTGTCTGAGTTCCGWAAGACAAAGCCCTGTGCGCTCATTTGTTAAAAATCAGTCACCACCTATTTCTGACGTGTAGGTTATGTGATTGGATCAACTAACGTAGACACCCCCCACCCCCCACTCCTCTTAGCTCATGGGAAAAAGTTCAGGCTCAGGATTCTTTTCCACTATCACCCCTCTAATTGGCACATTTTAGCCCAAGGTTAATTTAGTAAAATGGCAGCAGGTCAGATCAGTGGTTAGCACTAACACCTCATTGCAAGAAGGTCCTGGGTTCAATCCACAGTTTGGACCTGGGGGTCTTTCTGTGCAAAGTTTGCATGTTCTTTTTGTGCTTGTGTGGGTTTTCTCTGGGTACTCCGGTTTCCCCCACAGTACAAAAATATGCACAGTTGGTTGCCTTTCAGCCCAGGCCTCCCTTGCAAAAGAGATCTGTGATCTCAATGGGATTTGCCTGGTTAAATAACAGWAAATTAAAAATAAATAAATAGGCATGTGGTATCCAAAATCCACACACAAATGTTACTTGAGTCAGGTGATTGCTACCTTGGTAATCTAAAATCATTGAGAAATCACCTAATCACCAATGATTTCTGTGTGCAAAACAATTTTCTTTAAGCATCACAAACTTATTCTGATTGATCACAATCCTGCAAAATGATCATGTCTGCATAATAAATCAGGACTTTGATCATTAATTTTATCCTACAGCCATCCCTATCARTTTTTTATTTTAAGAAAGTGACCCATTGATCCAATAAAACAAACCTGATGTAGTAGTGGGACAGAGGCAGGTTCATGTCTTGGCAAACTCCCAGGTGCTCTTGGTCGAGTAGTTGACACTCAGAAGACTGAAGGTAGCGAGCAAATCCATCTAGACCCATCAGTCCTTGCTCCCTACCCTGAGCTGAAGGCTCGTAACGCTTCAGGAGCTCCCAGCAGCCTTCAGTTGTCGCCAAAGACAAACCTTGCTCCGTCTCCAAGAAAAGGCGTAGGTCCTGAGGATCCAGGTACTCACGATCCTGGGACAGCTGCACCAGAAGAAAGTAGACATCAGGCCGTGTGCAAAGCTCGCAGTAGGCCTCCTGGAACTCCTCACGCGTCACATGAGAGGTGAGCTTCTCCTTGCTGCGCTGAATCTCTTTGAAACGTAGACGGACCTAAAGAAATCCAAAAAAATAAATAAATAAATAAACTGGATGACCAAGTGGAGAAGCAGATAGGGTGAAAGAGGGAAACTGCATAAAAACTGCAGATACAGAGCCTTGAAACAGGATTCATACCCTTTAGACTTTCCACATTCAGTCCTATTACAATTACAAACTTAAAAAGTATTTTACTGGGAGTTTATGTGACAGACCAACACAAAATGCACATGTGAATAGGAAGAAAAATGATTGCTTTTACTTTTTTTCTACCATACCAGCTTTATTTAGAAAGCTGATCTGTATTTAGTTTCATCCATCTGTCATCAACTATGACCCGCTACTCTGTCCCTGCTGAAGAAAGCATTCCCAGAGCATGATGCTGCCACCACCATGTTTCGCAGTAGTGATGATGAGTCCAGGGTGAGGTACAGTGTTAGTTTTCTACCACTCATAGTGTTTAGATTTCAGGCCAAAAACATCAGTTTTTGTCATGAGTCTCACATGTGCCTTATCAACAGCTAGCCCACCTCCTGCTGTCAAGCAATCATCCAGATCTGGCACCTAGTCCTCGTCTGTGCCTTCGCCAATGACTCGCCTCTGGATTCTGACCCCAGCTTGTTGTCCCGGACCACGCTTTCAGGCTTGCCCCTGGATTTATTTGTCTCTCTCAGCTTTATGGTACACAGCCCTTGTTCTGTCTCTGGGTCTCAACCATTTGGAAAGTGCCGCAGTGCAGGAAGGAACACTTTCCGCATTCCTCACCTGCAGCAAGCTCAAACCAAGCCACATTTGCAATCGAACCTAAMCAGATCCTGGTTCCATTAAGAGAAGGTTAGTGGCTGTTTTTGTTTCACTCTCAACCGYTCCAGACTGCCCACTCAACCACTTACCTGTTGTCTTCCCCTTTCAGAGTTCCAGTCGCAGTGTTCATCACTTCCTGGTTCTCCCACAAGAGTCGCCACTCAATAAACTGTTTAAAATGTTTTCTGTTTGGCTGAGCTTTTGAGTCCTAAAAGCAAACCTTTTTAGTTTTGTTTTTATATGACCTGAGAAGCTTCTTCTGCAAACTATAAACWGTTAGTTTAGATAAACAGACATGTTGGCACCATGCTGGCACTGTTCTCTTCACCCTCTACACTGGAGACTTCTCCATCAATATCCCACACTGCCACCTCCAGAAGTTCTCTGATGACTCTGCCATAGTCGGCCTCATCACAGGTGAGGATGACTCAGAGTACAGACAGTGGTCTCAGGACTTTGTGGACTGGTGCCAGCAGAACCACCTCCTGATCAATGCTGCTAACACCAAGGAGCTGGTGGTGGATTTCTGGAGGCGCAGACCCACCTCACTGACACCGGTGAACATCCAGGGAGTGGACATTGAGATAGTGGACTCTTATAAGTACCTGAGTGTTCACCTGAACAATAAACTGGACTGGACTCACAACACTGACGCTCTTTACAGGAAGGGTCAGAGCAGACTCAACCTGCYGAGGAGGCTGAGRTCTTTTGGAGTGCAGGGGGCGCTCCTGAAGACCTTCTTTGACACAGTTGTGGCTTCAGCCATCTTTTATGGCATCGTTTGTTGGAGCAGCAGCTTATCTACATCTGAGAGGAAGCGGCTGGATAAGCTCATCAAGTAGCCCAGCTCTGTGCTGGGATGCCCCCTTCAACCAGCGCAGGTGGTGGGAGACAGAAGAACTCAGACTAAAATAACATGAATGACAGGGAACCCCTCCCACCCAGTGCATGGAACTGTGGCTGATCTGCAGAGCTTCTTCAGTGACAGACTGCTGCATCCTAAATGCACAAAAGAACGTTACTGCAGATAATTTCTCCCATCAGCTGTTAGACTCTTTAACCATCATTGCTCGCAACAATCTCGATAAGCATCATGTTCGTGTTTGCACATCAAACAACTCTACCTCTCARTCATTACATAAATAATAACTTGAGGCAATTGTACTTTTTTTCCTTGTACTGGAAGACTAACAATGTCTGAGTTCGACTCAATTTGCACACCCCGTCAGATCATGAGTCATGACTGTTTTTTCTTCTAATTTTGTATTTTTCCTCACAGTATCTTGCTTTTATTTTCATTCTGTTACGGTTCTGTTTGTGTTGTGGTGGTGTTTTGTTACACTTACCTTCCAGAGTCAGAGTGGCAAGGGCGGAGTCTTCCATCACGCACCTGTCTGTGATCCTGCTGATGAGGGCTGCTGGTATTTAAGCTCCTGGATGTGGCTCAGTCCTTGCCGGATTATTCAGTAACCTTGGTACTGAATGAGACAGCCTTTTAGTTCTCTCTCGTGGTTTATCTTTCGTGTGTTTTTCCAAGGTAAATCAACCAAGTAAATTCTAGAACTTACTTCATAGGCTGAAGCTAAGGATCCCCATGTACTGAGTCCTCAGTAAGCTAAACTCATCTGTAATCCTCTCTCCTCTGTCCTGCCACTCTCTCTGGACCTGCAAATACAAACRGACTTTGGAACCCAACACTCACCTTCTGGACTGTGTCTGCCTCCTCCTCCAAGCCTGCAAATCTCCCACGGACCTGATTACACCTGCCAATTTCCCCCATGCACTGTAAATAAACTCACTTTAAACTGATCACTGTGTTTTTGACTCATTGTTGGAATCTGCCTTATTTTGAGTACTCCTTTTGAAAATCCCTCACAGAATAATCTGGCCAACGTGAGTACTCAGGGCAATTCTGACAATGATCAAATTCTCAAGCTAATTTCTTTCCAAGAAGAACGCATTGAACAGAATGAACTCTTGTTTCAACAAATCCTAACTCAACAACAGAAGCAGTCTGACAATCTTACTGTTTTGGGTGGTATGGGCCACGCTCTGGATCAAAAAGTAAATCCTATTTTGTCTCCCTCAGTGTCCACAAGCAATGTTAATCCTGGTCCTTCTACAGCAGCTGCAGCGTCCTCCAACTCTCGAGAACCTGAGATTCACCCAAGCCAGTTTTTCTCGGGTAATCCTGAAAGGTCTGAACAGTTTGGAGGTTTTTTACTCCACCGTTTACTCCACAATTTAGCTTTTAAAAAAGCACCCGTAACTTTGGCCTCCGAAGGCTCCCGCATAACTTACTTCATTTCTGCGCTACAAGGGGAGGCGTTAAAATGGGCCCATGTTTATTTCTGCTCACTATCTTTCGATGATTGCAGTTTCTCCTCATTTCTGAGTGATTTTCAGAGAGTATTCGAGCTTCTTCTCCACAAAGAGACGGCTTCAAGAAGATTGATGTCGCTCAAACAAGGAAGTCAGTCCGTCGCTGAATTYTCTACACGCTTCCGGATCTCCGCCAAGGAGGCTGGATGGGACAACACAGCCCTAAAAGGTATTTTTGTGAATGCCCTTAATGAACAGGTCCAAGACCAATTGGCCACCAGAGACGAATTGGAGGATCTTAATAATTATATTCAAATGGCTCTTTAGATTAACAACCGCCTCCGGGAGAGGGAGGAGCGGAGAAACTTCAAGTCCCAGCATGCCCCATTTTCTGTCCCAATGTTTCAGTTTCCGGTGAGTCATCAGCCTGTGGAGGAAATAACTAATGATGATTCTGTGTGTGACCCCATGCAAATCGGTCGAGCCAGACTCACCCCAGACCAGCTTAGACCATCTCAGGTCACCACAGACCACCTAAGGTCACCTCAGACCATCTCAGGTCACCTCAGAATGTCTCAGACCACCTCAGGTCCCTTCAGACCAGTTCTCACTGACGTGCTCGCTGTCACATCGGAGTGTGTGTGTGTAAATATTTTTTTTTTGTAGTGGTGGCTAACTAGAGGACAGTTTTAACTAGACCTTTCAGAAGGCAATCACTGACTATACATCTAGAACTGATTAATGTTTGGAGCTAATCCTATTGGAGACGGCTGCCATTGCTAAAAAACCTTAACCAGCACAAAAAGAAGACTATACTGTAACTTAGTCACTTTTACAGATAATGTGGTAAAATTTGGTGATATGTTACTAGTTGCCTGTTACCCTCAACACATTCTCCAAGCACTAACTGAATGAATGAGATTTGTGCTTAAAATGACCAGTTTTAGGAWAAAACTCTGGCATGGTAGGCAGGTGAAAACATGCATTACTTCAAGAAATGTGTAGCCTTTATTTTTATTTTAATGCAGTTGTTTGGTCAGTCAGAATACAACTAAACAAGATTAATGGAAAAAAGTTAAATTGTTTAAAAAGCAAACCATCCTGAAAGTCTTTGAGAAGTTCAGAGCAACGGATTCACATAATTGAAAAAACTGCTTGTACTTTTTTCATTTATGCTCAGACTCAACCAGTAAACTCAYATTTGCATAAAAAATAAAAGCATAAAAATAACTTTACCTTGGCCTCCTTGATGCCTGGGCACAGCTCACAGATTGTAGCAACAGCCACATCCTCTGATACGATTCCGTATCCATCTTCATCTACCTGTGCAAACTCTGCTGCCAGCCACTCGCTCCTCATCTTGCTTCCAAGGCTGCCTTCTACCGACACACCTCCTCCATCACTTGACCCAACTCCTGTACCCCCTCCTCCAGCCCCTCCGATGATTGACGGGTGGGCAAGAAGGTAGCGCAAGCCTGTCACCCAGATGTTGGCCACATCTGCTGATAGTGCAACCAAGTCTAAAGACTGCAGGAAGGAATGGATAATTAGTGAAAGGATGGTGATAAATATGTATATTTGTTTTTTACAGTAAGTAGACCTGTTACCTGGTACTCATCCCCATGAATGATGGAGAAGGCTGCTTCCTCAGCCAGTTGCTCAGACAGAGGATTATTGTGGAGGAAAGTCTCAGTGCTCTTCCCGGTGCGAACCTCCCGGATGCTGGAGACATCCAGCCGAGCCCGCTCAGTATCCTTCTTAGATGGCTCCCAGCGAAGACAGCTCAGGTCTACATCCAAGGTGTAGAAACGATAGTAAACCCTTGAGTTGGGCCGAATCTTCTTCAGCTCACATCCACCTTGCATGAAGGCTAAGCAATCAGCTGCACTGCTTACCTGGAACAGAAAGTCACCCAAATCTTTACCTTTCAAAAAACTGAAAATGCAATGTCAGGTACACCACCAATGACCAAAATCTGGTGTATACCTTTGCCTCTACAGATCATCTCAGCTTCTCTTCCTGAAGAATAAAAATTTGAGGGTAGGTGTTGGGGGGTTTTGTCATGTGAGTCAACATCCCCACAATGTTTTTCCTGTGTGTAGCTTCTTATACAATATTTGGTCTAATTCTGCACACTTAAGTATTCTAAAAAATTTAAGTATCAAAATGTTTAGCTGGTTCAGGGAATTGCAACTTTGGCCTTTGTTTTTTCTTACTTTTATATTTTTTAAGATGTATAACTTTATTTACAACATTTTTTTTTACCATTGACAAGAATGGAGTACAATTCAAACAAACGTTAACTATTCAGCTTATTTAACAAATTTTAGAAAAAATCATTTAGCACTCAGCATTCACAATGCCTTTTTGTAGAAATGCCATTCTTTAGTTCTAATTTGTTTTTTAACTATTGTAAGAAAAAAATGTAAGCAGTTGGAGATCATGACTAGGCCCAAAAGATGCCTGCCCAGGGTTTTAACGACTGTGATAGACCTGCTAAGTGAGATTTTGCAGCCCTTTTTAAACATCAGCCTGAATCAGGAGAGAGTTGACTTGTTCTGGTAACAGTGGTTCCCAATCATTTTAGACTTGTGTACCCCTTGAGCCATTTTGTCAAACCACTAGTACCCCATCTATCAAACATAATGATTATCCAAAACTAATGTACAACAGCTGATTATTGAATGAAAATTATTTATCTAACCCCCTAGAACGTTTAATTCTGTTGTTTCATTAATTCTGCTGTTTAATAGTCCTTTGTTTTCTTTGTCATAGCTTGTTTTGTGGGAGCATATCTGTTCTAAAACATGTGTGTACTATTTTGCATTGATGAGGCCTTTCTGGTTGTAAGCATGCCCTGTATAACATCAGAGAAGCAGTCTGTTGAACTGTGCATTGATAACAGGAGTAGATGATCCCTCTTATCTTTAGCATGGATGGTGTAACATTCATGGTATCTAAAAAGAAATCTAATTTTGTTTCATTTGACCACAGAATAGTTGTCCACTTCACCTCAGTCTGCTTTAAATGAGATTTAGTCCAGAGAAGACAACAGCATTTCTGAATGGTGTTCAGACTTCTGAAAATGGTAGAGCTTTAACCTGTATTTATGAACTGCATTGTGAGCTGTGTTTATAGACAATAATTTGTGGAAGTTTTGCTAAACATTCGCAGTGATGTCCAGAATAGAATCAGACTGGTTGTTCATGCAGTGGTCCCTGAGGGTCTAAAGACCAAAACCACATACAGTAATATTGACTTACAACCTTGTCCTTTAAGCTGAGAACTTTTTCTACGTATTGACATTTTTGATATTTTTAAAAAATTCAATTTAGCCTTGATTCTGTCATATTACTTCTGTATATACAGCACAAAATCAGTATGATTTGTGTTAACACAGGGACAAATAAGAAGAATCTTTTAAATTTAACAAGATCTTGAAAACTAATTTTCAAAATACCTTCTTCTCAGAGGGCATGCTGCTGAAGGATACCGTCTTCTTCCTGCCTCCACCCACTTTCTGCACTGAGGGATCCTGGGAAAACACAAGGACAGGTTGTAGACTAAGGGGCTGAACAACACATTTCTATTTGTTTAGTAACAGACAAATAAAATAAAGCAGCAGTGCAGGGAAAAACACGTAAGCCAGTTGTTACATACTTCTGCTTCATAATCTAAATCACACACATACATACACATGCACACAAGGTCAAACCTGACCTGTGGATCCAATTGTTTCTAATAATAATCAAGTTGTRTATTGTTTTTCTGTGGAAAAAAAAATCTATCAAAGAAACAGAATGATATAATGGTCTGTGATGAAGAATAACCCAAAAATATTTACATTTATGATGTTGATAAGATCAGAACCAGAATGTAGTGAGATGGTAGGAGAGAAAACAAAGCGTGATAACTGTTTCTGTCCTGCACTACACTTTTTAACCTTATGGGGCACCGGGTCAAGTTATTGACCAAGATTTATTAATTCACCCTTTTTAATCAGACTCATATTCACCAAAGTGTGAGAGATCATTTGATATGCAGGAAATTCTTATCTCAGGCCAAAAATGCTCAAACATGTGGAACCAGCTTTGTTTTTGTGGTAAT